TTACGAAAGCTCTGGACGAAAGAAATGTTGGACCTCCTTGAAGTGAGAACGATTCACTGGAACACTCTGGGTTGTGCCAAGGACGAATGTAGACGTTACTGGCGCCCGCTCGAGGATGTCGATGATCAACGGGACGACAGGTGATACAGGTGACTTTTTCAACTCCCTTTGCACCTGATCTTCTCGAAAAATATTCAAGCAAAAAAATTATAATAGAAGAAGTACGCTGACATAATGGGCGAATGATGAATGGAACTTACCAATACGAAAAACGCTTTGAACACCGGACTTTTTGAACCGCTGATCTTCTTCAGAACATGCCTTCCATTTAACAGCAAAAATAACAAGAAAAACAGATTAGGTAACAGTATTGCCAAATCCCAATATCGAAACCTGAAAAGGAGAAATGGAACGAGTATACATAGTCACTCGGTATGTTGCGGTAAGGCGATAAAACGGGACAGAACTTTCTCGCAGCGATTAGCTGCATCAGCCGTAATGCGTAGCTAAACCCATTGACGACCTCGCCTTCTATATTGTCCTCACATTAGCTTTTAATTTTTTCTTCAACTGTAGTTGGAAATGAATGATTCCTGGACCCCAATACCTCAAGGCTGTCAGGTCAGCTGATACTTGAAAACATGAAAAAATTATAAGAACACTTGATAAAGAATATAAACACTACAGGGGCACGATAGGGGAGTGACCCGCCGGCGGGCCACGCGTTCGTCTATGGGCCACGAAAGCGTCACGAGACCCATTATTCAGTGGTAAGGTCGGTACAAACGCAAAGCAAGTGATATGTGCTCCAAGGAGCGATTCCAAGTAGCACCACATTGTACAAATTACGGGACAGCGAAAATGTTCTCAGGAAGAGCAGGTTTTCGCAGGATTTACGAGGAAGTGAAAGTATGAAGCCTCCCTGGAACTGCATACTACTGAAGACCTTTTAAGTTTATTCGTTGATAGCCGTCATTTAACGAAACATCAGTCATTAAGTAGCTGTTCGCTGTTTATCCACGGCTGGTCAAGCCGATTTATGAAAAATTCAAAGAACGGTTGCTCAACTACAATTTAGAAAGGTAAGTTACACCTGCTAGTCTTCCAGTTCACTCTAACAGAATAATTCACAGTTTTCTCTCACGTCTTCTCACACTTTGAACTCAGTCAAATGAGGCTAAATTATCCCACCAAGCTCACGGCATCATGGCTAGCGATTTTCAAAGTAAATGTCCTTTTATGGACTGGGACCGATACCCAAACTACATACACATAAACCACAGGTTTGGAGTGTTTGTTTGCTTGTCTGTCACGAAATGCCGTACCATGTGCTCGAATAAACACCCAAAGAGATCGTTTCGAGTTTGAGATGGATGGAGCTCGAACCAAAACCAAAAGCGCAGCCATACTTCGAGAGACATGCCCCGGACTGGGTTGTGTCAAATCAGAATTACTCATTCTAGCTTCAGTAAAGCTCAGACACGGGAAAAATCATCAAAGGTAAAAACTGATCAACAAAAACCTAAGTTAAGAAGACACATCCGCGGGGGAGGAGCAACCTCAACGTGGGCGTAGCTTCCTCTTTGATTTCATAAGTTGCTGCCGACAAAAAGCCTGAAGGCCAGACAAGTTTGTAGTAGTAAGCATGGTCTAATGGTAAGTGTGGTACGTGCGAAAGCTTAACGAGGTCCGCTTACCGCAGACGGAGCATGCTCTCAAATGAAAAGTGCTTCTCATGAAAATTCATAACTTCGTTCAGAAACTTTCTATAATCCAGGAAAAAGTGGATTAATTCAATTAATCGAGAGGTAGTCACATCTACAGAATATGCGGGATGTGATGTGGGTGGGGCTGAGATTAAAACTTCAAAACATTATTCAAAAAGCTCTCGAATTTTGGAAGAAATGTTGGAAGGGATGCAAAAAGGTTAAAAAATTGTGGTTGACAGAACTAGACCTCGCCTACAGGAGATACAGGCAGGAGAAAATTTGAAAGGGGTAGCGCGGCATTCTGGGCTCACTGATAGGAGGCGGCAGGGCTGAAACTCGCTCACGGGAGGAGCTGAAAATTCTCACAGCTGAAAATTAGTTGTCATAAACGTGAGGCATTTTTATTTGGGTGAGAACAGAGATGGATGGTGCCATTGCTAGACTCTGTCCGCAGTGGAGGACTAGGAGTGCGATGTTTGCAAGGAAGTTCATTACTCCGGTTCCCTTGGAGCCAGAGCGCTCAAGATTGGAAGGGGTACAAACATTCATGGCCACTGCTGGAACGGAGACTATGTAGGCGATGTTTAGATAGAAAATCTATATTCTACTTCGAAAAAAAAAATCATAGCCATGGAAAAGGGAAGAGGTTAGTGAGGGGCCTAAAATTTTATGGCTCAAATTAGGGCTCAATGGGAAAAACATCTAGAACTAGAGGTCTAATTCTTGTGTATGTGGCCGAGCACCATGTTGGGCAAAGCTGAGCTCGGAAAAAGACAATGCTGTTCATAGAAGTTTACAAGGACAAAGGCAAGGAACATCAGGCATGAAAAGGAGCAGTATTAGAATCCAAAATTGACCACACAATTCTTGTAAAAGCGTTCATGGTCGCGTATATGACCATTATCCACAGCCCCGCTTTCTTTAGACGTAGGGCGCTCACAGTTTAATGAATCTAGCACGTGCAATGGTAGCTACGCTTGTGATCTCAATTACGGAATGATATTCTTCCCACTGAAGAATATCAATCTGTTATGCAATAGATTATTCGCTCTCTTAAGAGATAGTGCGTTCAAAGTCTACAAAATCAAAATCGAATGATGACAAGCGATATCAATGAATCGATGCAGATAAATATTGATTCGTAGCTTCGTTCCCTTTGGCACAAAAAGATGGTACTCATATAGTACAAAGGCACTGATAAAGGCTTGTCTTTTTTGCAATTGTTAGGGCATTCACAGCTCTATGCTTCCTTTGTACATGGAGCGTTCAGATTCCATAGAATTCACGTAATTGTGATGGGAAACGCGCTGAAGCCGTCAGAGGTCGACAACGATGAATCAGTACCGGTATATATGTTATTTTATGTTATTGAAAGGGTTCACAACTGAGTTCCCTCAAATAACTTAGAAATGGTGTGACGCTGGAGGTCTAATCGATATCGATTAAATGATAACGGCATTTATCGATTTGACGGGTAATTGGACGGATGATGACAGGATAGCTTCCTTGATGGTGATGCTCTAGAACTATGAAACTCCGAAAGAGCTCTCTAATAGTTGAGGAGGATTTTAGAATATCGCTACAAGGTACTTTCGGTGCTGATCAATCGATCCCGATCAGTATCTACTGTACTCGATGTTTTTGGCTACACATTATTTTTGAAGTTCGAAGGGATTTGAGGAAAAGGGCATTCGGTGTTTGCTTCCTCGTTCGGCGTAACTGGGCGATCCAAGCGCTCAGACTAGATATATCACCGTAGCTCTAGAAGTATCCAGGTTAAGAAATTTTCCTGGAGTCAGTTTTTAAGGTAGCTTAATAAGATTGTGATTCTCAGGAGTAGGAAAGGAATATTCGCTAAGGCTGAGTCAAGTAAAATTGCGTCAAATGCGTAAACGTAACCACAAAACAATAAGTTCTGTAGTAGTTAACTTGAAGACAAGTTGAAGAATATCAAGAAGAAACTGTGAGCTAACTATAAGCAATGGAGAAGCAATGGGAAAAAATACAAAGGAAACTCTTATAAAGTTATTTGGTTGGGAGTGGAATCATCAGGGGTAGCTCAATGGAGCTTATAAGTATTAAAAAAATCAAACAGAAAGATCACTCACCCAACTATAGGTAACTGGTAGAGTAACACATCTCGGCAGAATCCTTTAATAGCCGTATGCGCTTCGCTATCAATGAATGAGTTGTTCGGGAAAATATCCGCGATCCAGTATGGGGACTGCACAGGGATCTCTTGAGTAAAATTCGAGAATCGAGCTTCTCCCAAACTCGTCCCCGGATTATCCGGGAAGAGTACTGACATTTCTGAAAATCATGTTGTTGTTAAGGTTTCGATGCTCCATTTGCCGAATTCTTTGTTAACGTGTTCGAGCGACTAACAAAAAGAAGTGGGGAAATACGACGAGAAAATTTGATTTATATGAAAATTGTGCTGAACCGAATGACAGGCGACACCGAAGGAAAAATCATAGAAGGATCATTGACAATGTAACGTATGATGCCTTCCTTGGACAAATTCGGAGGCACCGACTTTCTTGCAGGTATTTGTTGTACCATACTGTTCGTTCAACAACCTTTTCACGGGTGTGGTGCAGTAGGCACTAAATGGTCGCGTTGCGACGAGATAGACGCCGCGCGCGAAGGAATGTAATAGAACGCAGCAGCGAGGAAGAAATACAGGTACAATAGAACTAGCAGTAGAATCATGCTAAAAGTAATAATCGCATAGTGATTGAGCTGCATAAAGAACGCTAGAACTGCTTTAATGAGGCAATTGGTCCGCAACAGCCGCGTGCGGCACACCGATTAAAACCGTTCCTACTGCCCGCCTCCCCCTTTGCACACTCACTTTCTTGAACTCTAATACGATGATCACGAGTAAATCGTTCTGATGCCTCTTGGCATTTCTTTCTGATCTTCATCTTCCCCTATCCCTCCCAATGTTCAAAGATATTGCTGGAGCTAATTTGGAAATTACCTACAACCGTGCATGTGATGATGTAATCGTACCAGCAGCGGTGGAACAGGTGTAGATACTCGCGGAATGGAGAAGACTTCCAGAAAAACTCCATCTTTGTATCACAACCGTATAGTTTTACAAAAAAAGAGAACAGCTGCATTTTTTTCCATGAAGCCCTTTCCTCCAAAAAACATGCCCTTTACCAATTGAAAGAGTAGTCAAAGGATACCGGAAAGCGATGACGGGAAACCAGTTCCCCAATCCTGCCTGCCTGACTATTGTTAAACCATGCCTTAGCGAAACAGTAACAGTCCCGATGTGAACATGTGGTGCATGACGCATGTGGTGGTGTTCCCCCCAGTGACGACGATAAAGCAATCGATCGATGTCGCGATCGTATCAGGGGGGCTTATCATGGATAATCGTTAGCGCAATGTGGGGTGCAATTCGTCACAGGGCGTGATCGGCACAAATATATGAAGGCTCTCCTGGATCAGTGATTCTAGTTAGGGCACTGCGGAGACAAAGCGAGTAATGAGCAACAAAAAAAGTTGATACAGGTAGGAGCTGAAAAGAATATACGATCTGCGACACATACGGATGGCGATAGTGCAAATCCCCTGAAATCAGCCACGCTGTTCCTATTTGTGTGTACTTAGGACGCACGACTTCTCACTTACGGATCAATCTCGTTATCGATGGTCCCCTTCTTTTCTCCGATGCTGCTTATGAAACCATCCCTCCGATTTTGAACTTGTGCGAGTGCTTTCCATTTACCCCTGACTACATTACTGTGCCTAGGTCCCTGTAGGTGAAACGCCACCAGCGAAAGCAATTAACTCAGAAGCAAGAGAGCAGAAGTATCGTGAAGAAAATTCCGAAGATGGAGCTCATACAAAACAGTCCAGTCTTCACCGTAAAGTTGCCATCTATTCCAAGAAGAAGATAAATCAGTCGAAATAAAAACCTCTGCTAATCTGATAATTTTCTCACTATCGGATTAACGGAGGGCATAAATGTCACTTAATGTCCACCTCCTATCCCAGAGATCTAGACCTTTTTCTCGACTATTGATATACCCGCAGCCGTATATATTGGCGACTCGATGGCACAGTTCATGATAATTTTGGGTACCTAACTTAAGACGATTAATGGAAGTGATTGTCTAGAATAAAGCAAAAGTGGCGAAAAAAAACGCGAAAACTGAAAATATTAGAATTATAAGCTTTCAGGTAGGGGTCGGACGAGAAGGTGACGGCAAATGTGACACCGAAGGAGTATTTGGACGACTTGTCCAAATGTGTGCACCATTGCATACCGCTGGCTACATTAAGCTGCTTGCGTGCAGCATGCGCGGTGCGATGCGAATGGTGCAATTATTGAAGCTTTTACAATGCCGCGAGAGCTCCTTCCTTGGGAGGTTCATTGAGAGGAGTAATTTCAGAATATTAGTATCATGAACCGAGCATTTAGTCTACCGACTTTGTTGGCTGTGAGGCTTTCATGATGCGTCGGATCTACGAACGTCTCTGATGTTGACGAGAACGATAAAAAATGGCACTTTTGAAATAGGACACCATGTGCGAGAAAAAGGTCACCCCACAAATCGCCTTCCTTCTGCCCCGTAATTTTGCTAATGAGCGATGTCTTCAAGCATAAGGCGAATAGGGAAGCATCTAGAATGGACAAGGGATTCATTACAGACATTTGCTGAAGACGAGCCCTTACGACCTCGTGCTCTCCAAGACCACTTTAGTCAGGAAACAAGCGATCTAATTTGGAACGGGTAGAGGCGACGAATTACTGAGAGGGTACTAACCCCGAGAAAGGTGACAAGAAACTGATGAAGGATGATAGGAAGTCATAGAGAGCGAGGCCCTTTGAGGCTTTTACACACTCCTGTTAACAGTAGAATCTTGTCATTTCGGCGGATTGAATGGTATACGACGAGGGCGTAGGTGCGTGGCAACAGGAATTACGAACAAGTGGTGGAGCTACTATAGGGCCTTATAAGACAAACGCCACTGGGTAATTGCGCTTTTTGCATTGGTATATGGACCTTCACACTTGGATGGGGGATGAGTGATGTCACGGGTCTTAACACTTAGTGACAAGAGGTGGTGCTCGGTGCTAATCCGAAAGCGGCATTGGAAATTTAACATTTCGAAGAGTAATGTGGAATTCGTCGAGGTCTGCATGGTCTAGCGACAAGAAGTGACAACAACTGATGAAGGCTGATAAAGACGTCGAACTGCAAAAACTGGTCAATCGCATCCTTTTTCCGTGTTGACAAAGAGGCTTGCCACCTCAGCGAGAAGGAATGACTGGTTTGCATACAACGGTTTACAAAAAATAATAGCAGCTGATAAGGGACCTTTGAAGGCAGAACCCTTCAAATTCTGAACCCGTTGCTATTTACGATTTAGGTTGACGCCTTGATATGTTTGAAAGCATCACACAGAATGATAGAGTAAAGGATAAAGGATAAAGTCTTTGGGCGATTAACAATCCCCTCTGAGCGATGCGGCCACGCATTCGACTTCCATCGTAAATAGAAATCGTAGAGGCATACTAAATGCGTATGTGACCTATACAATGACCTGCGGTGGCCAGCCAATGTACAAGTTAGTGATTTTATCCCACCCAGACAAGTCTGGTACCAATTACCTGGTCTCGGAGGGATGGGAAGCTTGGTTGGCCTAGGCAGATATCGATCCGGGAATCGAACCCGTGACCATGCTCATATGAAGTATGCTACTTTCCACCACACCATCCCACAGGGAGAGAACACGTATTCCTTTCAATATGGAATCAGTTTTCACAAAATCCACAGGACCGTCAATATTCTAGGATTCTCGATCGATAGTTTATATCCATAAAGATAAGAACAGCCATGGATTATGGACTTGATAACGTCGTTATCACCAATCGACAACATTAGAATGTGTCATTCAAGGATTCGGATGACTAATCAGATTGCCCACATGTAGAAAGGTTGGTCCGCGACTGGACTCAGCAGAGGGAGTGACTCCCCATATGATTATTGTAAGGAAAAGGGCAGCAGATGGAGATTTCGTAAGGGTAGGCGTCGAATTTGTAGAGCCAGCGTAATTGAGGGCATTCTCCTTCAAAAATTTCAAGGTGAATCACTTGTTGCGAAAAGGGGATGTAGGGTCAGTCAAGCCTTCTGCCTATGTAACAGGAAGAGAATAAGGACAGGAAGTGGAGTTCGACTCAAGCAGGACAATCCTACTTGTAATATTAATAGAAATAAATTAATACAACAAAAGTGAACATCTTCTCTAACGACTCAGTCACGTGGGCCAGCTTCTGCCTGGCAGTTGTAGAATAGATGGGAAATCCAGCTGTCCCGGAGCATTCGCTTCAAAGTACAAATGGTTTAACACTTGTGGTGCCAGGTTATCCGAATAGAGGGAGATTTCAAAGAATGAGCGCCCATTACAATTCAAACAAGAGACGCTCGGCAAAAGAGGAATGATGCATCTGGCATTTAATGTTCGACAGTTTTTAATGAATGCCTATTCATAGAAAGACCTAATTAGTAGCAAGCCATAATGTAAACGATTGATAGCAGCATTACCAAGGGTGGGGCCGATGTCCTCTCCTT